AGTGGATGTTTTCATCGCAGAGGTGGCAGCATTTTCCTCCGTTGATGGTGATATCCGGCGCCAACCTACACGTCGACTTACAGGATATTCCCCAACCAGGGATCGCCCATTAGCGAGAAACTGGTCCTCCGACATATACGGTAATGTAGTGCGTATAAGAGGAAGTGTGTACAACCAAGGGGTGGGAATAGGAGAAGGAAGAGGAAGGACATATCGCGCGCGGTCCAGGGCACGTTTTTTATGGTACTCCTCCATCATTCGCCTTGTGATGATCGGAGAAACAACGAAAAACTACCAATCAGAGCACTCAGCCTCGGAAATTGTCCTCCAGACAGTTAGCTGCATTCGCAAGGTAGCGAGGGTAAAATATCCTGCCACCAACGAGACTCAAACCTTTCCTGTCGAAGGCACTGCAGTGACATAAATCGATGTCCTGAGCTTCCTAAGCCGGTATCTGCATTATTTTTATCTTTTGTAAAATACTGCAAATTAATGTATCCAAATTTTGAATATATACGTTAATAAAATGCAGATATTGAAAAACATACTACCAACCTAACTCCGTTCTCTGAGATAGGAAAGAAATAACCAAGCCCAACAATATAAGAGAATAGGATTCTGCCTATACCACGTGTTAGAGGAAATCAGATACTATTCATAGAAATATGATTTATCCAATTTTTCGTTTCCAGAGCCCGCCAATATAAGCTTTTCTGTTGGAAATTCGCCGTTTTCTGGCGTACAATTACAATACTTCATCTTCTTGCGCAGTATGGGAAGAAACTAAAAAAACATGAATATGAGTTTGGATCTCGAGGTTTCCAGAAAAAAATCTAATGTATGGAGGGTGTCATGTTCACCATCAATACGTTTCGTGATCCCTGGTCGTGAGAGGTGATTAATTTATGTATTAAGATCTTCTATTACACACATGTGACGTTGCAAAATGAGTTCGAACATTGACGGGGCATGTAGAGGTTTCTAAATGAGTGCCTTCTTCCTTCCCCTTTGATCTTACCTCACTTTATCCGCCGTCCACCCCATCCCCATGGAGAATGGAGAAGGTAGGGGTGAGTGAAATTCAGTTCCTACTCCTTGTAAATATTGTCAAGCAATTTTGATGTAAATTGTTTGTATTTAACTGTATTGATAACGAAAAATTTGACCTTGGTGTCCCATATTTTTAAACTTTGCTTATACTCTCCACAGGAAACAAAAATATGATACACGTGTTTTTCATTATTTTCCAAAATATTGTTTTTAGACATTTTTCGATAAAATGCATTGCTAAGTTAATCATTTCAAACTCCTATTGTAATTGTAACAGAAATTTCATATTTTGCGACGAAAGAACAAAAGATGATCTTTCATTTGATGTATGTATTGAATTCATTCTATTTTAAAAAATACTTTTTGAACTATTTTATTTTGTATTATTTCCCCACCCCCAAAAACGACAGTTCAAATATTTGAAAAATAAATACCATTGTAATCTTTAAAATGTTCTACATAAGCGTGGTAAGAAGTATGCCGAGATGAATCTGAGAAATTGAATGTAATAGAAATGTGAACTTGCTGCTTTGCTGCCGCGTCTGTTAGTGTTCCCCTCAAATACGTTCCAATCAGCAGTAGACGATTACCATCAATATACTTTTATAGAGCAATAAACAGAAGTATCCCTTCACATCTTACTACGTGCCAGGTATATACATATCACTCTCATAGCCGATTAAATTCAAAATAAAATAGTGTCAAACTGATACAATTTAGTATTAAACAGACGGAATATTTCCAGGAATATGAGTATTTGATACTATTAATTAAATTTATACTTGTCTTACTCCACATTACAGAGAATATGGTTAATTGACCTTTTCAAAAAGAAATGAAAATCATATATTTTCTTTGAGCCTTCTGCTGTTTTTTATTGTATTATTGTTGCAATAGCTCTCATTCTAAATATTGAACGTTACTAATAATATAAAGGTAATGTTCTTCACGTTATTATCAACACATTTAAATAACTTCCTGAGTAAATTAATAGGTTCCTATCAGACTTGAAGGTTAGCTTTTATTAAAACTATTATAGCCCCCCCCCCTCACTTCGTCACAAGGTCCCTTTCCATAAACGTTCCGAAACGATGAAATTTCATTCAGCACTCACATTGAAGACATATTTTTGGAAGCATTAATTCGCATTATTTTGCAATACGAGGAACTGACCCAATCCAAAAAAATGTCTGTAAGCACTGTCATAAACGTACTTGAGAAGTGTTATGAGTTTACACTGGCAATGGTGAATTGAATTCACATTGTGTTTCAGGCATCCGGATTTATTTTAATTTTTAAATTCTTTGCTTTTTCTGAAGTATAGAACAAAAGGATGCAGAGTAACCAAGCCATTAATTCACAGCAGTCACTGCATTACATCTTCAAGTAAGAAATAATAATTTTCTAAAAATATCACATTTAACAATAAAATTTTAATTTTTAATTCGAATTTTAATTCAAATTTTATTTTTGTTACCTGAAGAGAGGAGAAGATGAGTGAAAACAGCAGAAGAAACACAAGACAAACTTACTTGGTCAGTTTCTTTATAACTAGTACCAGGTGATTCGTTAGGGTGACCAAGACCAGCAGTGCACGTTATTCATAGTTATCACTGCGCAAAATATTTGCGGCATTAATAATTATAGACGCTTTTCACTTTTTTGCTGAAACTTCACTTGACTCGTCACGAGAACAATTTTGAAAACTAGTTTTTCCAATAATACAACTTTTTTTACGGCAGTCAATTTTCAACATCTTAAGAATGCTGCTTGTAATACCCTAAACGTACACTTCTGCAATTATAGATTTTCATATTAAGAAAATGCAAAAAAAACAATAGTATTGATAATATTGTAAGTTTATCTGTGGTTACTAACTTCAATGAAAAAGGCACATGATTCTCGGATGCCTCTGTTTACACAACTGACTCAGTATATCTGAGAAATACGGCTGCACTGCTTCAGGCAGACCATAGCAGTGTCAATGGTTTATAAATAAACTTAATAGACGCATTTGACCACCGTATGTGTGTTAACGCGATATATAGCATGATATAAGTCTCACAGTTGCATTGTGTTTGGACGTCACGATGCGTCGTGTCATTGACGCCGCGAGTAGGGAGTTCGGCGAACAGCGGTCTGCCTACGTGTGCCGGTGAACAATCTATTTTTTAAACGTTATTTATGTGTGTCCCACTTTGAAATTTGGAAGAGCTATACAATATTAGCGTAGAAATACGTGAGTATTTTTTTACCGTGTTGACCTACTCTGAATATCTGCATTTTAAAAATTAAAATATATTTTACACATTTTAATAATGTTTGAAAGAATTATATTTACATCACACACATGATCATCAGATGAAAGTACATATTTTTAAGTTAAATTTACTTTTTCTGTATGAAACATCATTTGCACAAAAAGTTGTAAACATTAGCGCGTTTGATTCTTCGGGAAAAGTTTATATAAAAGGTAATATTTCTGATAGGAGTGGGCTTAGAAAAAATGGATCACCTATTTTCAACCCTAGAACTCATAGAAAGTTAGAGTCCCTAAAAAAGTTGTGATGTTTTGTGAGTGTGCGATTTGACGTGGAATGACGTGGAATGCACAGTGATCATTTGCTTTATGTGTGGATAACAATAAAGAAACTGAAAAATAGTCATAATTAAAAAAAGAAGGAATAACTGAAGCCCTTTTGAGAAAATTTTGAAAATGTCGTAGCAAAGTCTTGCTAAGTACCACCAACAGTGAAAATTTCCGATTGGAATTCGCAATTTGATTGCAGCCGGATCGATCGGACAAGATCCGTTTTGAAGAAAAACTGACGTTTGGTTACCAGCGATCGAGTGTGGTTCAAAGTGGCCTTTACAGAGATGAAGACAGTTTGGGAGAAGAAGAAAATAACTTAACTGGTATTACGTGCGCCTTTACTTCAGTCTGAATTCCATTTCAATATCTACGACCTACTAGACATTTTTGCAACATACGTAGTCACAAGAGTTTCTCTACACAAGTATGTGAACACGAGAAATTAAAAGAAAAAATTAGCAGTCAGTCACGAAAAAATACAAAACAACAATACAAATGTCAGTCAGAACGCCCACTTACAAACGTTTTAATTGTAAAACACGTTCGGCCCATGTTTTGAAAAATATGAAATTTTGGATATATTTACTTAAACAATTTGTAATGAGTAATTTGTTGCTATGTTAAGCAAAATTTTATCAGAATATACTTTGAATAGTGAGAAAAACTAAAGCAAGATATGATCTACCAAACCAACCAATACGTATAAATTGAGTGGGCATGTAAAATTCTTACTTCAAATTGATATTTTTTGTCCTAACTATTACCTATTCAGTACATAAAATTATCATACTTAATTATTTTAATTTTGTTTCGCATATTGCCCCTAATTTTCACCTTTTATCTAGCCCATTAGAGTCGCTTTAACCAAATTGTTCACTTGCTTCAATCTCAAAAGCGTTTCCGCGTGAGTTCACATGTTTTTACATGAACCCTTGTATTACTAATTAAAATATATTACAAAATGCACTTACCTTTAAATGTAGTGAAACCCTTTTACTGTTTGCCCGTTTCAATAATTGGTAAGTAAATTGTATATAAACAATTATACTATTCGTTAGTAAGATATGTAAAGTTAAACGAATATCGTTTAGACCACACAATAAAAACAAAAGTACCTGTTACATATTCATTTTATTTCAGATGTAACACTTCTCTGAACTTTTTTACATACAGTATATTATATGAGAACTTACAATTAGCTGAGCCGAAACGATGAACCTCAATGGCAAGACATACAGTACTCCAGTGTTTAAAATTACTGCACGGTTTTTGCATAAGTTAGTTGAATGTCCATTTTTTTTGCATGGGTCGATAGATGAACTGGCAGAATGTCAGTCGTCCGGATTCAGCTGAAAATTCATAGTCCATTTGAAGAATCTTCGTTGTTTGCAGATTTTTTTGCGTTTTCTTGATCTTCGTCTGTCTTCTGTGCTTTACCCACCTCTTCTGGCGGAGGATCAAAGACAGGGGTTACTGGCATCTGGGTGCCAATACAATTCTGTTCCTTTGAAGCCCCAAGACCACACCCTGCAGTGGATTGTTCCTTCGTTATTATTAGTCCTGCCTTTCGAACTGAAGCCGAGGCCTGCCCGTCCATTGCGCTTGCAAGCTGCTGGAGAAACTAGTGCGAGTGGGGGCTAGGGGCTCTTTCTGCGGCCTCGTTCTGGTTAGAGATCCGGCGGATAACCACTACCGGTCAACTGATAGTATAATTGCGTACGTAAAGAGATAACTCTGCTTTCTTAGGAAATAAGAATTGGGTAATGGTTTAATGCTTATTTTGATGATGATTTTGCGCCTCAATGCATTGAAAGTCAAACGATAGAGTTTTCAAAAAAAAAAGAAACAATTTTCTGTATTTCTCACAAGTATTGTTTATTGAGAAGTTCGGAATAGTGATAAAAGTTTGGATTTCAAAAAATACTTATAAAAGCATACAAAGGCTTTTAGTTGTGTACAAAATACTTTATTAACATTTAGTATATATATTTTATTTTTAACTCTTGCAAATTAGAATAATAGAGATACCGCTAAGTACTCAGAATACTTGTTACTGAATATACTAGATTACTACTATACTAGATATAATCTAATAATTCATAGATCTTCAAAAGCACTACACTATTATATACTAGATGCAGGATGGTAAGCACTCAATAAATTCAAAATACGCAGGCAAAAAGGGATTCAAAATGTTATAATGTACTAAAAATTGGTGTTCTATAATTTATTCATGATTTTCGTTTGTTTTTACGTTACATAGAAACTCGAGCTAGAGAAAACGTAATACGTGTGACGTGATCAAAATTTACGAATAACACGCTATAAAATTTTTAAAATCCTTAAGTGGACTTAATTATCCAATATACATTTGTGCAAAGTACTTATTATTCTCTAGGGCTAAGTTCCAGAATTTGAATAGCTAGATGATGTACAGGCGCTATGTGGAGGAGAATTCCAGTGGCCGACTGCACTGATTCACTGAGTTTTCGGTGTCTTCTCCGATCAATATCACACGAATGCCAGATCAGTACCCTAACAAACGGGCTACGAACCGCATGCGATCTTTCCTTCCTCTTCCTTGCCCTAACCTCACCCCTTACTTACACATTCACACGCTTATACTTCCATGCATCTCACTACCATATAAGTCAGGAGTTTTGAGAATTTCCTGGCTGGGGTGGTGTGCTACTGGAGGGAAATACCTGGATGGGGAAAACCTCTGAAGCCGACGTATACGACGGCGCCGGATCTCTTCATCCAGCGGGGGACGAACACCGCCACTTCCAGTTGTAAAACATTCACAATACTTATAAGATTAAATACCATATTAATTGACGCGTGAGGACACACAAAATAATCGATGGATGAAAAATACAGAATTTGGACTATTATATAAATTGGATTGAACCCATATTTCTATACGTAAGGAAATTTGATCATATGAGGAAGCAATATTGCTTAGCAGCACTGAGTGGCAGTGCCATTTTACGTACAAGAGGAAGGTGCTTCTTAACGAATGACAATGAGTGCGAAATCAGTTTTAGTATTAGTTTATTTTTTTTATTTTTTCAAGTTATCACGAAAGACGTTTACAAATACTCGTAGTACAGTCAAACGACTCCACCTCCTTGGGGTAGACCTGGAGCAGGTTCTGGCAAATACTCGGACCTTAAGACTGTGCGTTCGAAACTCGCGTGAGAAATGAATATTTTCTTATTTATATATATGTTGTTTTTGTAGGGTGACATACTCTGTTCCTCGTGTACATTACATCAATAGCTGTATCCTTCCGTTTTCTCTTGGTTGGTAACTGTTCGCGAATTTCTGTTCAATCTGCCTTTGTGCGATATTGAGGAAATAGTTATCAATCCATAACTATGGTATAAGCACCGAGATGGAGATACGGGCAACCATAAGCAAGTATTTGATAGCAAATGAACGAGATGGATCTAAGAGCTACGTCAGCGTGATATTTGGGGATCACGAGGGGCTATTTTCCAACAATCGTCCCTAGGAGAGCGATAGGTACCGCAGGAGGTCCTAGTAGTCTGTAGATGACAAACGGGAAGAGGCTGGGGGAAAACTGTAAAGCTGGTTCCAACTAAAGGGAATAAAAAAAATTAAATGAAGAGAGGTCTGAGCTAATTTGTAGCACTTCTTAGTGTTACTTAGAGCACGTTCGGGACACCTGTTTGCGGTATTGTAGGTTCCTGAACCGGCGACCTTCGCTGAGGTGGAGCAAAACTCCAGGCGCGGAACCCTCCGCTGTAAACTGTTCGCGTTGTACATCGCGTGGCGTCCAATGCGGCGCTTGTTCTTGCTCAGCGCAAAAGTTGGGCGGCGGCGGCGCCCGGCCGTCTTGGCGGGCTTTACGAGGCGCGGCCGCGAGCGACGTCCGCCACGACGCCGTAAAGTGCGGCCGCGCGGCCCGCCCCACACATCACGGCCCATTTGCAAATTGCGCGCTCCGCGCTCCGCGCTCGCACCCGCTGCCCCGACTCGCTCCGCGCCCGCCGACTGCGCCGCCCTCCGCCCCGCGCCTTTCACGCTCCTTCTACCCTCCCACCTCGTGCTCACCACGGTGCCGCCTCGCTTCCGAAACGTCCTTTGCACGCGCCATACGGTCTCGCCACGCTTCCGCCTGGCTTCCTTCACGCTCCCACCATACCCTCCACACACCACACAACCACCGCCACACCCCTGCCATGCCCACCCGCCCCGCCACGCCCCGCCACGCCCCGCCACACCCCCGCCACGTCCCCTCACCCCCGCCACGCCCCCGCCACGACCCCGCCACGACCCCGCCACGACCCCGCCACGACCCGCCAGCGACCCCGCCACACCCGCCAGACCCGCCACGACCCCGCCACGACGCCGCCGCCACGACCCGCCACGACCCTGCACGACCCTGCACGACCCCGCCACGACCCGCCACGACCCGCCACGACCCGCACGACCTCCCGCCACGACCCCGATCCGCCACGACCCGCCACGATCCCGCCACATCCCGCCACGATCCCGCCACGGACTCCACGCTCCCCTCCCCGCCTCCGCCACTCTTCCTCACCACGTCCCCTCACAGCCACCTGCCACGTCCCCGCCAAGCCCCCTCACCTTCTGGTCACGATCTCGCCACACTGCAGTCTCGAATCCAGACCACAAACACATCACTCCCTTCTTTGACTATCTCCAAACCCGCTGTGCCACCGCGCTCGTCCCCGCTGCCTCCGCTGCTGCCCCACCCCCGTACCAGCCCTGTACCCATTGCCCTACATCCCCGTACTCGTCTCCGGCCCCCGCACTCAACCCTGAGTATCCAGGAACGCTCCCCCGATCCTGCGTCTGTGTCGTCATCCTCATCTCGCTCCCACTCTCATCATCAGTATCGCACCCCTCGCCTTCATCTTCGCCCTGCTCTCTCTCCAGTCCCCACCGCAGCCCCCGAAACGCACAGCTGCTCACGGGTTCAACTTCAGCTGCACGCGAGGATCCTGGCGAAAAAGGAGCACTGTGCTGCGACTTACAACCAAAATGAGGACTCGTGACAAATACATTTATGTGGATTCGAGGCTTTCACGAGTATTCATGAATGACATAAGGGGGAGGGAGTTGCTGATCGCTCTTTTTTAGAATGGCAATATGAACTTGTGACATGTTTTTTTCACTCTATTAACATAGTCTGTGTGAGAATTAAATTGAACAAGTAGAGTGGAGACAAGTTGCACGTCTCCGTACGACGCCTATCGAAAAAGAACAACTCGTGTCCTGAAATTTCTTCAAAAGACAAGATAGTTTTCTTCAAAAGACAAGTACTTACATTGAATCTCTCATGAGGAAGCTTTTTCTTGACAATATGTGTGTGGTTGACTACTGCTTTTGTCTTTAGAAACTGAAATATTTCATGAAAACCAACTAAAAAACATCAAAAGTGAAATACGATCCTTATTTTCCATGACTTTCTATGAAATATTCTTCTTTTGAATGTATTTAATTTAGTAGTTATCTTACAATTTCTTTTCATTTATCTTTAATACCAGTTATAATTTTAAAATTTCATTTTAAGTACCTAACATAGTTATTTAAAAAATGAAACGATGGGATTGCATTCAACTTCACGACTATTAGTCACATTTCTGATGAAAACTACCATTAATCAATAGTTCTATATAATTTCGTTTCTATGCATTAGTAGAAAAAACTACGAGATATTTATAGCTGCATTTGATTTATTTGAACTAAGACTTGCATAAGATTTGGTTTTTCTGGTCTATAGATTTGATTTGGTTTATTTGGTTATTAGTAGAAAATTTATATTGATTATACTTGTATAGTTGTTATAACTATAGTGTAGTTCTAATAATTAATTACGAATATGTATTCGTCATAGTCAGAAAAGGGATTTTTAAATTTATAATTCAATGTTCTATTTTGTTTTCACTTGCACTTTGCCACATGCCGCGACACACAAAAACTATTACGCACTAAAAGAACGGTTCGCATAATTGGTTAAAAAGAGTAATTCTGAAAGTTGATGCAAACAGAATATGTTACTTGTAATCCAGTAGAAATATTTACAAATATTAAATGGCTTAACATAAAAATCACGTGTTTGTAGAATTCAAGATTTGAAAATATTTTCTCTAGCCTCTATACGACATAGGTCTGAAATATTGTGTAGTTCAATGAAATACTTTAGTCCGCAGGATTGTTTCAAGTACTGGGTGGCAATATTGTCGTGATAAATGTAGTCTTGGAGGAGACTGAAATTTGACAACAAACAAAACTTGATTGTCTGATTCTTAATGGCAATAATTCCCCATTCCTATAAACTAATTTATAAATTAATTATTTTCAAAACTGATACTTCCCTTCGATTTCCTTTTACACCGTTGAATATATTGTTACGACAGTACAACAGCGAATAAACTTCAATTAAGAGATCACATTCATTTTTCTTGTTAAGAAGACTTTCTTTCTTCATACAGAGAGAGGTAGCTCAGTGAATCTACTGATATCACTACAGCGCTCCTTACCAGGAGGTCCTAGGTTCGGGTCCCGACAGTAGCAAGATTTTCATCACTAGCTTGTCAAGAA